TCTTAATGTATTATTTTATGTTATAATTAAAACTACTAGGAAAATTCATCAGCTGTAAAATTAATTAATAAGCTGTGGTTTACTCCAGGGAATAGGAAAGGAAAGGAATGGGGTAGAGAGAAAATCCTTTACCTTTCCCTTTTGTTTAAAGCAGTATGCTTTTGCCATGTGATTTACTTAACATTATTTTTTAAGTGGTGCAGCGTGCGGGAAGGAGGCAGAGTAAAAAAGTTAAAATAAAAAGGAGTTGAGGTAGTGTCAGAATAGCACAGTATCAATAATTTGGCCCAAGCAGAGAGGGCAGGTACCTCTTGCTAGAAAGGAATCAAGGGCAACAGGAGAAGAATAGTCCCTAGTACTGCTGTATTTGTACCTAAAAGCTGTGTTCATTATTCTATAATTTAAAGAAGTATCACAACCTATAATTTTCATTCAACTGCCAAGATTATAATAATGGGGGAAGGGGAGGATATTGTAATGATTATGAGAATTAAGTACAGTTATTCCTTGATACCCATGGAGGTTTGGTTCCAGGACTCCTGCAGACAAAACACCTGTGGATACTCAAGTCCCCTATGTAAAACTAGAGTGCAAAATTTGTGCACTTGGGGAAGGGAGAGGTGTCCCTCAGCCCAGCCTGCGCCCTCTTGCAGTCCTGGAGCCCTCAGGGGATATCCAATTGACAGCTTAGGACCCATCGGTCAGACATCCTTAGTGCTGCTGCTGTGCTCGCCAGCCATGAGCCCAGCGCAGGGCTTCTGGCTGAGCGGTGCTCCCCCTGCAGGAGTGCATTGACCAGCAGGGGTAGCTCCTATGTTGAGTGTCTGCCCCCTTGTGGTCAGTGCGTATCATAGTGACCGGTCGTTCTGCCATTCAGTTAATTTGCATAGTACCCTTTATTATATAGGATGGTGTAATAGTTGCACATAACATATTTGCACATAGGCTATAGTAGGGGTATGTCTACACATCACTTCATTTGGGTGAATTCAGCATAGTACTCAGTGTGTGGCAAATTCAAATTTTGCTTTTTGGAACTTTCTGGATTTTTTTCCCCAATATTTTCAATCCATGGTTGGTTGAATCCACAGATGCAGAACCCACAGATATGGAGGGCTGATTGTACATCTGTCTATGTTAAAGTACAATACTCAACAAAGGATATGAAAACTTTTCAGTGCATAATCCATAATATGCTCAGGTCCACTCAACTAGTTTCTTTCAAATGAAATTAAAAATAATAAAGAAGTTCTGACTTTTAAGAATAACTGTTCTTGAAACTAATTTGGATAAATTTCAAAAAAAGAAATTATATGCTTCATTCAGATGTACTTGAACATAAACACACTCTGATTCTTATTCCTAGCAAATCCCAACTGTATGTCCTTCAATCAATCAACTCAAAAAATGTCATAAAATATAAAAATGTTCCCTGTCAGTTATAAAAGTGAAGAAAACTGGTGTCACAGTGTCTTAATTAAATATGCTGAAACAATAAATAAATATGCTGAAACACAGCACATCTCAAGGAAGTTACAAGGTACTAAATAAGGACCTGTTTTCTTTCATTTTTCAATCAACAGATTACATCATTATCTTGGTATTTCATGTATTAAACTATATAGTCATATAACCTGAGACTTAGTAGGTATACAATCAATGGCTCTTTGTACAGAAGCAAATATGTGAATTCTGTTTATCCTCCTTTCCGAATCATGTAATCTACTCCTAAGACTACAGGGTCCCTTCCTTCTAACAAAAATTTAATTTCCAATAAAGGAGCAATGTGACTAGGAAAGAAAGGAGGGATATAGAATCCACCAAGGAAAATTAAGAAGTAGACAAACAGGTTCACTATACATATGAACTTGCCAACAATATATTTTTTTAAAAATCACACCAAAATTCAAAAATGCTCTAACTCATAGTTTTCTTAAAGGACATTTCTAAAGGAAATGTATTTCATAATTCTCTAGTCATCCACAGGAATGAAAATAAATATAAATGTTAACTAGAATGAAAGTGTAAATTCAGTTGGAAATTAATTACTATTCCCATGATTACCAGAGTGTCAAATGATCTTTCACTCTGATTAACTCAGGTCCAAGCAAAGACTAAATCTTTGCTTTGGCTAAATTCCACAGCTCCAGGTAAATTAAAGGAATAAAGTGTTGATGAATCATGTCTGAAGAGACCAAGAACAGTTTCAATATTGTATTTAGAAGACCAGGGGGGAAAAGTGCAAAAGAAAATAAATGCGTACAATAAAAAAGATGCATCTAATTAATAACTAATTAATAAAGGCAAAAATAAGAAGAAATTGTAATAAAATTCCTGTCATTTTCATGGACTCAACTTGTTGACATATCAAATTATTCTACCTGTATATCCCATGTCATATATCTACAAGAAGTGAACAAACCTCTCATATTCTCCCAACTAGGATCAAAAGGGTGAAATAAGAGGCAAAGGGGAAAGAGGACTGGGTTAGGCAAGATGAATGGTAGCCAGCAAAGGCAACAGTGCTGGTATGTGGGGGGGAGACTTCTTGGTGGAGGGGCTGTCATCTCCACCAAACAACTCCAACTAGCACCTCTGTTTCCTGAGTCACCCTGACGTTGTCACTAACTCACCAAGTTAAAAACACAACTCAAACAGTTTTCCCAGGAAACCCATTACAATAAATTCCTTGGCCATCAATATTTTTTGTGCAATATATTTTTACCTATTTTCAGAGAATATGACAAACTATTCTTATTACTTGGATGACTCACATATGTAAACACAGCACAGTTCATATATATTGTATTATCTAAAATAAAACAATTATTAATTTAAATCATCATTACAGATCTTTTCAGTTTCAAAATTTGACCAGGTCAGATAGCTGTCATCACACCTCCTCCACATACCACTATATACATTAATTAAAAAGTACTTACAAGCTACTTTATGCTGACTCTAAAAAGCCCAAATGAGAATTTCTTTCAAAAACATTATATATAACTAACTCTGGTCCAGTAAGACATTTACTTTAGCACAGCTAAAATAAAATTTCTATTTAATAGAAAAAATACACCAGTCACCTACTCCCTCAATTTCCTTCCACCAAATTTCCATACCGATCTCTTTCTACTAAAATCCCCGTAAAGTCTTAATATATTATGTACTCCATTTTTTCCCATCAATTTTCAATTATTCAAGTTTCTCCCTTTCAATTGCACATGTCTCCTCTTTATAAAATTTCCTCATTCTATACTTATACATCAACCAAATCTGTCCCCAACAGGTCAGTTCTGACTTCTTTGTTATTATAAAGCCAATCCTCACTTTGCTTGCCATCTCTGCAACAAACTTCATCATGACACCTATAATCTCATATCCACAACCCCTCAGATCTTGTTTAGCTCAACTCCTGCACCCCCTTCAAGTCCTCCTTTGTCTTGACCCCCTAAGAAAAGTGAGATCCCAATACTTCCACCAGGGGTCCTCAAACTTTTTAAACAGGGGGCCAGTTCACTGTCCCTCAGACCGTTGGAGGGCCTGACTATAGTTTAAAAAAAACTAGTCAGCTGCTAAGCAACAGGCAGCAGCGGCAAAAACAGCCAGCGGGCCAGATAAATGTTTTCAGGGGGCCGCATGTGGCCCGCAGGCCGTAGTTTGAGGACCCCTGACACTGTGTGTTCAACTTCCTTCTTCCTAAAGCCCTATCCCACTTGTGCCTTCTTCAGTTCAAGTCCTTCTTTATGGATTATGTTCTCTAGAGATAATATTGTTTTCATTATGTAATCAATTCCAAAGCAGAGCGCCTGGCATATAATAAACAATAAATATATAACTGCCTGAAGCACATTAACTTGCTCATAAATAAGCTGTTCTCACTCTAACGAATTTATCACCGCAAAATAAACTAAACGTGTGCTACCCTTTTCCAGGACCCACGGTACTACCCAATTATGTATTTCCTAATCCAATAAAAGTGTGTTTTTTCAATATGCATGATCCTAAAGAAAAAAATACCATAAATATCTAAAGAGCATCTCTAGGGGGGAAATAGCTAGCCCTTACCCTACCCTCAGCAGAGACCTATGATGTCAGAGTATATTTAAAAAAATTCAATTCAAAGGTGTATTAATGTTTTGGTCTACCGTAATCTTTTTATATTTAAAATATTCGCTATCAACATCTATAACATCAGTGAGCCATGCTCACTGACCATCTGACAGAATTTCTATACAGGAGAAACTAAGGGGCTTTATTCGACGATAGGTATGAATTTAATTTGAAACTGGATTTGCTTGGCAAGAACACTATTTTACTTAGAGTGTTATGTTTATTTGTGATGGTTTTAGAGCAATGATGGGAATTACACCTGGGGATTAGAGCTTTCCCAAGGTACTGGCATCAGTAATACAAAACCTTCTCTTTAAGCCAACCAAACATCCATTAATAAAGTTAGAACTAATAGCAAAGGATGTAGCAGCCATTTTTACATTGTACACTTTATAAATAACTAACCAAAAGGTATAACACATTAAATGGTCACTTAAATATTACAAGCATGACTATGACAAAAAGTAAGCTCCACAAAAATTATTATCAGGATGAGCCAAACACTAGAACCATCTGGATCTGAAAAACAAACTACAATAACACTCTCAATATTTATAAGCTGGACAAAGTTAAGGAGGAAGAATTCCCAAGAAAAGCAATGGGGACATGAAGAGAGAAATGTATTCTCTACTTCTCTATAAAAATGAAAATCAATGAGACTGAAAAGAACATGAGTGTCTATGAGGTGAAAAGAAAGGGTATCTGATCTTTCACACCTTAAGATTTATTATTTGTAATTTTATTGTACTGCCCATTTATGAACAAGGATGCTAAAAGAACAGAGCAATTAATATTTATTTTTAATGTTTATTAATATTGTTTAGAAGACAATTCCTACATTAAAAACAGGCAACAGAGTCAGCTTTAAAATTTCTGTATTACTTTACCTTATGCAACTGTAATGTTTAAAAGTGCTGGCAGCTTTCTGACATTCCAGGCACAACTGAATAGCTCCTGGGTAGTCTTCCTCCTTAAGATAACAACAGAAGTCATTAGACTAGAGACATTTTTCTTAAAGCCCCTGCAGAAATCTCTGTTTGTCCTCTATCCAAAAGTTACAGAATCAGAAAAGTTTAATTTCTTTTATGTAAGGATTAGAATACCAATAACAAATAATAAAATAGAGAGAGGCAAGTAGGTCCAGACCTAAAACATTTAAAATGCATGCATAGAAAAAAATATTCTGTTTCCTCAAATATACAGTCACAGCTCTCTATGACCATGACATGCATATAAAACAGCCGTGGGCAAACTACGGCCCGTTTGAAATGAATAAAACTATTGAAAAAAAAGACCGTACCCTTTTATGTAATGATGTTTACTTTGAATTTATATTAGTGCACACAAACACTCCATCCATGCTTTTGTTCCGGCCCTCCGGTCCAATTTAAGAACCCATTGTGGCCCTCGAGTCAAAAAGTTTGCCCACCCCTGGTATAAAACCTATATAGAATTGATTACAAGCTGCTTCACAGGGAATGTTTACATAAAACGTTCCAAAACAATTATACACTCTACCTGTAATCAACATTCAACAGTTCTACCACCAAGAAATCAATAAATATTTTTAAAACAAATAAATTTTGAAACAAGTAAAATATTCATTAATAGCCTCAGAATATTTTATCACCTAAACATTAATTTAATGTCAAAAGAATTTTTCATATGGATGTCTCAAACCCCAGTTTAATCATAGTAGTTTAGAAGTAATACAGTGATTACACAGAAAACCCTAAAAAAATTTCTTTCCTTAAGGTCATACCTAAGTTCCACAATGCAATTCAAACCACTGGGGATGCTGAGATAAAGTTCCTACCCTAAGGAGCTTCAGTGGTAATAGGGAAGCATAGAAGATTAGGCTTTTGTGAACCTTGTAACAGAAGTAGACTGAGAATGCTACGAAACCGTGAAAGAGAAAACACACATCTCACTCAGAAAACCAATTAACATGAGATACCAAACATAACTAATACGTGAAACATATCCTAAATTACTTCTATACGTTAGATGAAAAAGAAAATTTTATTATTATTTGAGTGCAAATACAATCAAAAGATACTGATGTTCACATTCCCATGTTGCTACAAACTAAATATTTATCCAAATAATTTTTTCTAAATGAAGCACATTATGTCAATAGAAAAATGCTCTAGAGCAAGTACCTTTGCCTGTCTAAAAGAGCTCTTTATACCACCTACCAATTTGAGAAAAATGCCCATCTGAATTTTTCACTATAACTTTTCTACTTAATATTATCAAGAGCGCCAAATTTCCAAGCCTTCTCAACTTACCTCTAGCATTTCACTCAAGCGCACATCTGTCCTTTGCTGGAAAAAAAAAAAAAAAAATCAAAGGTAAAACCTGTCTCAACCATAAAATTAAGTTTTAATTTTTAAAAAGTAACCTGTATATACCAATGTTTTAATAGTCCTCAGAGATTTCAGAAGTCCAATCAGCAACTGACGTTTCCTTTGATTTGCAAGAAGGCCTAAACTAGCTTGAGTAAAACCTTCCTTTGCAATATTCAAGTGTCTGCAAAAGTGAACAATAAATAGTTAAATTTTTCTAGCATAAAAAGAATACTATCCACACAGAACAATAGGCCACTAATAAGGCAATAACCTTGATTACTCTTAAAACTAGGCATTACGACTACTACCACAAATTTATGTGACAAATTTATTCAACAGCTCAATCTAAGCCAGCATTACTCAAAGTGTGGTGGGTGGACTAGTGCCAATCCTCAAACTGTCACTGGCCCATCAGAAGAAAAGTACAAAGAAACTGAAAATAAGCGTTTAAAAACATTTAGGGAGAAGGCTGACATAATAATTTTATGTTTCATGAATAATTAATAAAAAAATTGGGACTGTACTTTGTATGTCTTTGGTTTGTTTGTTTTTTCCCATTTCCCTAGTACTTTGTTTTTATTGCATTTACAAAAATAACACCCTGTAACAAGTTAGAAATTTAAAAAGAAAAAAAAAACTGGTCCTTCACCATAGATAGAGAAGCACTAATCTAAGCAAATACAAAAACAGTATTGTTTTTATACCATAACTAGGTGTACAGACATTTCTCACATACCTTCTTAGTATAGTTTTTAGATCATAATATATATTGTTACTAAGTGGTATTCTAGAAATTACAGTAATAACAAAAAATCAATTATCAATGATAGTTTCATAGTTTTCCTTGAAATGTTTTCCATTTTAAAGAAGAAAATATCATCAACTGCAATACCTTCTCCCATTTGTGCAGATAACAGCAGCTAACTGAAGACCTGTCTGTAATGAGGTAACTCTTTCAAGTTCCTATGGAAAGATTAGGTACAGGTTATTATTTGAGGCATTGTATTTTTCTTTCCTATTCATATGGTACTCTTAGAAACCTTTAGTGGGTTTCTAAGAAAAGCCTACTTGGAAAACAATATAGCAAAAAAAAACCTGTTGGTATATATTTCAATAAAATTATTTAAAATGACAATCTTCAATTGATTTTCACAACAACATATGACAAAATATTTAGTTAATATTGCTTATAAGGAAATCTATACCCAACCTGCTTTATACAGGCATAAATAAAGACTAATATATGCACTTAAATGTTTCTACCCAACAGAATTTCACAAGGTAATCAAGAATATGACAAATATGATTTCTGTTTGCTAAGATGCTTTGACAATGAATGCTTTCTTTTGAACACTAGTAGATATTTCAATGGATTAAGTCTCTAATTTTTCTAATGAAAAGATAGATTCTGGTGCATAATTCCAATTTTACCATATTTTAAAGACCAATTGTTATATTGCCATTGAGCATTCATTATTAATAATCTACATGTTACAGAGAATATAAAAGCAATTTTCATTGGCTATTCTACAGTTTGGAAAACCAAAGATATTACTTTAGAATCAGTTATTAAAAACTCTTTCATTTCTTCAGTTTGGCAAATACCCCCAAATGAGAATACACACATACACTCACACACACACACACACACACACACACACACACACACACACAGTGAATATGTTGCTACAAAACTATAGACAAAAGAATAAAGTAAAATACTTTGACAGTTTCAGGACTAAATCACTCATTTTTTAAATTTCACTATAATATTATATTATAACAAATAACGATATTTTTATCTAGCATAAAAAGAATAATATCCACACAGAATAGGTCACTAATAAGGCAGTATCCTTGATTTAACAAAATATAACAAATATTTTGATGTTCACATTCCCATGTTGAACAAATAACATATTTTATTTTAACAAATAAATACTAAATATTACTTTACCTTTACATAAGCAGGCTGCTTCTCAAGGATTAAATCTGCTACTTTTTTAGACACCTATAAGAACATATCATCAAACAAAGTAAGAAAACAAACTCATGCTTCCTATTACATTTTATATTTTTTAAATTTCCAAGAATATTCTACAGGTCTTCCCTATAAATTTTTCAGTATGCTATGATCACACATATTTCTCTGGGCAATGAAATTAGTAAGAGGTATAGAGCACAGAGCACAGTACTCAACAAATGTTCATTATAACTGTTGAGTATCATTATCTGATTTGACTAACATACACAAAAGTTTAATCATCTTTAAGAGTTCAGGATTTGCATTAAAAGATGAACTTGTTAAGATAAATAAATGTTTAACCAACTGAATTTATGAAGACAATATCGGGGAAACAGGAATGTCCTTGCACCCTGCAGATCCTTTTGTACCACGTAAGAAGACAAATGGCATTCTGGTCCCTTTCTTCTGAAGAATTGAGAACATGTGCTTTTTGGAATGCTATGGAGATATTTCAGGTTTTCTGAGCCAATTCCATGAATAATGTTAACGCATGCAAGTTAGTTATAATGATTTTAAACATGAGGCTCTCATTTCACAATTTCAGGGGCCTCTGTCAGATTACACTATGAGATACCAAGTCTAGCACAACGCATGGCACACTGAAGTTATTTAGTGAATGTTTGCTCAGGAAACAATTGGTTCCCCTGCCCCAGGCCAACTGAGAACCAAACATTATTCACACACACACTTATGAATGGCATTAACCTTTTCATGTTTTCTTAATCTGCTTTGAAATTATACATATATGTATAGATGTATATAGATATGAATTTGTATAGATGTACCCAGACGAAAACCCACCTAATTTTACCAAAGTGGGTTTATTTTTAAAAAATAGACAATGTAGCCCTGGCTGGCTCAGTTGGTTGAGCGTCATCCCATGCACCAAGAGGTGACCATTTTGATTCCCGGTCATGGTATA